TATATGTTTTTAAAATCTAAGATGCTTTTTTAATTTAAAATACATATAATACATTATATAAAATATTTATTTTCTTTCTTTCTTTTTATTTTTTTTATTTATGTGCTGATTTTGTGGTGACACATGACCTAGACTCATTTTTTTGAGCTGCACTAATTCTTACCAGAACACTTAACACTGCACCGAGTTTATAACACTGCAGGCAGCTCAGTGTTTTTTCTGACATGCGCAGTTGTTGTGCAGAGCAGCTGTTCAGCCCCTCCCCCTCCTGTCAGACTCTGTGGTCACATGACTCACTTCCTGCATAAGCAAAGCTTGCCTGGGCTTCATTCTGCCACTGGGTTAGACGGCAAGAATCCTTTTAAAATGGCGCAAGCTGGGGTTTTCCTTGAGCACGACCAGTTCAACTGTTCCATATGCCTGGATGTCTTAAAGGACCCTGTGACTATTCCATGTGGACACAGTTATTGTAAAGGCTGCATTAAAGGCTACTGGGACCAGGATGACTATCTGGGGATCTATGGCTGTCCTCAGTGCAGGCAGAGCTTCGCTCCCAGACCCCTGCTGGGCAGGAACACAATGCTGGCAGATGTGGTGGAGAAACTGAAGAATACCGGGCTCCACGCTGGACCGACAGCGTCTGATCCGACCCAAGCCGAACCCGGGGATGTGGAGTGTGATGTTTGCTCTGGGACAAAAAACAAAGCCTTTAAATCTTGCCTGGTCTGTCTGGCGTCTTACTGTGAGACCCACCTTCAACCCCACTACGAGTCTCCTGCCTTTCAGAAACACAAGCTGGTCTCTCCTTCAAAGACGATACAAGAACAGCTCTGCTCTCGCCATGAGAAACTCCTGGAGGTGTTTTGCCGCACAGATCAGCAGTGTATTTGTTATCTTTGTTTAACGGATGAACACAAAGGACACGACACTGTTCTAGCTACAGCGGAGATGAATGAGAAAAAGGTAATGTGGTAGACCGTTTCTAGAGTGTGAGTGTTGTTTTGTGAGTCAGTAGAAATATGACATGTTATGTAACCTGTGTTTTTCTTCCCAGAATGCTCTGGCGGAGATGCAGAGGATTTCCCAGCAGAGGATTCAGGAGAGAGAGAAGGAGCTGGTCGACCTGAGAGAGGCTACACAGATGCTCTCTGTGAGTCTGTGTGTGTGTGTGTGTGTGTGTGTGTGTGTTTCTCCTAACAGACTTCACTGAAGTTTCAAGGTCAACCAATATCAGATCTTGTAAAACTTTTTTTCAATAATAGTTTATTTATCGGGGGCAAACCCCACAGCTACCTAGTTCCTTTTATATATATTAATATGCAATTTATTTTTACTTGAGATTACTGTAGATAGATAGATAGATAGATATTTATATGTAAATTAATCTTGTTTGGATTGGCTACAGAGCTGGAGTCAAGACCTAGACCAAAGCCAGACCTCTTACACCTAGACTAGACTGAATAAGACTAAACTAAAAGATTCAGATCCAGAGTAGACCCCTTTAGTCCCAGATCCAGACCAAGACCTTTTGGTCCATAAACCAGGCTGTCCATTCTAATAAACTATAATAGTAATAAAAAAAAATGCTGAATGTATTGCAGTATTCATTTAAAACACTTTTTCCCCAATTTTTAATAGTTTTATTGATTTTTTTTTTTTCAAAAGCATTTTTTATATATATTTTTTTCATTTAAATTGACCCTTTTACATTATAAATCTAATAATATGCTCGAAATCCTGTGCAAGTATCATACAAATTAGTTCCAGCTTTGACTGTGACCCTGACCAAGGGCTCAGTTATACAACAGCATGGTCTCAAGGCTAAGGCTGTGTAAAGATTTCTGAATAGCTGTTTTTGCACTTTAGTTTCAGTGAACGTCCTGCTTGGATTGAGTTCTGAAACTTTGAGCACGTCTGCATAGTACATCAAACTCCTACTTCAAAAGAGCAATAAAAATCCTGTTTTCCGCCGCATGACCTCTTTAAAGCCGAAGTCACGCTTTATCATTCCGCTTTTGTCTCCTCTCAGCTCTCCGCACAGACGGCCCTCGAGGAGAGCGAGCGCATCTTCACAGAGCTGGTGTGCTCCATAGAGCGCCGGCGCGCTGAAGTGACGGAGCTGATCCGGGGTCAGGAGAGGGCGGCCGTGAGTCAAGCTGAAGCACTCCTTCAACAACTGGAGCAGGAGATAACAGAGCTGAAGAAAAGACACGCTGAATTAGGAGAGCTCTCGCAAACAGAGGACCATATCGCCTTCCTTCAGGTAATGCTGCCTCTTGTTCACAAATTGCTTTCTTATCCAATGTCTCCGGAGTATCCTGAGGTTAAGTGCCTTGATTAAGGACACAGTGGTGATTAGTTTATGAAGCACATTTTCTGTGGTTTGAACCTAATCAGTGTTTTGGTGAACAGCCCAGATCTTTAACCGCTAAGCAGCACTCAATCCATTGTAAAGGTTTATTGTTAGACTGCTCAGTTTCAATATTAGAAGAAATAGTTCACCAAAAGATGAAAACTGTCATTAATTCCTCACCTTCATGTTGTTTCAAACCTGTATGACTCTATTTTTTGATGAAACGCAAAAGAAAATTTTTTTTTTTGTGAAACACAAAAGAAGATATTTTGCAGAATTTCTACACTGCCTTTTCCATATCAAGAAAACATATAACAACCATGGGCTGTCAAAGTCAAACAGGACAGTAAGGCACCATTTTTTGGTAACCGTTTACTTAAAGGGTTAGTTCACCCAAAAATGAAAATTAGCTTGTGTTTTACTTACCCTCGAAGAATCCTAGGTGTATATGACTTTCTTCTTTCAGACGAATCCAGTCGGATTAAAAATTGTCTTTGATCTTTCAAGCGGTTTAATGGCACTCAGCGGGTGTTGCAGTTGAACAGTCCACAAGTCGTCAAATAAAGCTCGCGCATT